CTCCTGCTATTCTCTTTCATTTTGTTTATGGCAATCTTTATAATTGTAGGAATATTTCTGGGGTTTCATGATAAAATGACTACTCATCTTAGTTACGTCTATCTAAGCAATCATAATGAAACTAATTCCACGAAGATTTAGTTTCTATAGAACAAAATAAGATGGTCACGCTCTGTCTAGCACCTTTCTCTTTGCGTACTGTTTTTTAGTTTTAGCGAAAGCCAATAAGCGGAAATCAATAAAGGTCATGTTAATCATTACAAAGGAAAAATGAAAGAAGGCTATGGCTGTAATCCAGAAAATGATCTAAGATTTGGAAAAACAAAAATATCCTAACATATAAATAAAGTTCCTCCGAGGCTGTCAGGAGGAGATGCTTGCAACCTGATCCTGTGTCTGTGTCTCCTCATTCGCCGACGCCGTCCTTTCCTACGAGAGACCCACCCCGGCTGGAGCTGGACTCTGGCAGTTAACTTGAGGCTTGCATAGAATATCCTGTAGTTATAACCCTCGGTTTTAAATTTCAATTGCATACAAAAACTCTACACTTTTATCCTCCCCCACATACTTTGTGTTCTTGTACTCAGAGTTTACTTCATTTTATATTGTGTATCCATGAACAAATTTTTCTCTTAACCCTTAAGTTAGGGTTAAAAGTAATTTATAAATAACCATTACAGTGTACCATTTGTTGTATATTTACCTTTACCAGTGAGATTTAGGATTTCATGCTCCTGTTGAGCATGTTTTCATTTCAATTTGAAGACTCCTTTAAGCATTTCTTTTTTTTTTTTTTTTAAGATTTTTTTTTTTGACACAGAGAGACAGCCAGAGAGGGAACACAAGCAGGGGTTGCGGGAGAGGGGGAAGCAGGCTTCCCGCAGAGCAGGGAGCCCGATGTGGGGCTCCTTTAAGCATTTCTTGTAAGGCTAGTGGTGATGAACTCCCTCAGTTTTTGTTTGTCTTGGAACATCTTTATCACTCCTTCATTTTCAAAGGAAAATTTTGCTTCATTTCAAAGGTATAGTTATTCTTGGTTGGCAGCTTTTTCTCTTAGTACTTTGAATATATCTTCCCATTCTCTCCTGGCTTGCAAGGTTTGTGCTGAGAAATCCACTGATAATATTAAAGGAGTTCCTTTATATGTGATGAATGGCTTTTCTCTTGTTGTTTTCAAAATACTATTTTTGTTCTTAATTTTTGGCAATATGATTTTATAATGTATCTTGGTCTATTCTTTGGATTTATCCTATTTGGAAACTTTTCAGCCTAATTAATTTGGATGTCTATTTCCCTCCCAAGATTTGGGAACATTTCAGCCATTATTTCTTTAAATACACTTTCTACCCCCTTTTCTCTCTTCTCCTTCTAGGATATATTGCATATCCCATATTCAAACATTTTTATTTTGTTGATGCTTTCCCATTAATATCACAGACTTTCTTCACTAATTTTCATTTTATCCCCTCTGAATGGATACTTTCAAATGACCTTTGAGGGTGCAGATTCTTTCTTCTTGAATGAGTCTGTTGTTGAAGGTCTCTCTTGTGTTTTTCATTTCATTCATTGTTTTCTTCAGCACCAGAATTTTAGTTCTCTTTTATAAATTCTGTCCCTCTGTGGAACTCATTTTACACATGTATTGTTTTCCTGATTTTGTTGTCTGTGTTCTTTTGTATGTTCACTGAACTTCTTTAAAATAATTATTTTTAATTCTTTCCCAGGAAATTCACAGATTTCCACTGGAGACTGTAAATGGAAAAATATTCTTTTTTTGTTGGTGGCTTCTTATGTCTTCATTTTTTTTTAAAAGATTTTCTTTATTAGGGAGAGAGAGAGAAAGCATAAGCAGGGGGCGTGGCAGGCAGAGGGAGAAGCAGACTCCTTGCCACGCAGGGAGCCCAAAGTGGGACTCAATCCCAGGACCCTGAGATCATGACCTGAGCCGAAGGCAGATGCTTAACCGACTGAGCCACCCAGGCATCCCATTTCCTTGATTTTTTTGTGTGCGTGTGTGTTTCTTATAGCCTTACATTGATCACCTTGCATTTGAAGGAGAAGTCCCCTTTCCAGACTTTAGAGACTACCTTTACTGGGCAAAACAACTGAGAAACAAAACAAAAGAGGGGCGCCTGGGTGGCTCAGTCGGTTGAGTGGCCCTCTTGATTTTGGCTCAGGTCATGATCTCAGGGTCCTGGGATTGAGTCTCATGTCTGGCTCCGTGCTCAGCGGGGAGTCCGCTTGAGGATTCTCTCCCTGTCCCTCTGCCCCTCCTGCTCACCCTCTCTCTATAAAATAAATAATCTTTAAAAAAAAATTTTTTTTTAAATAAAAGGGATGGGGGGCCAGGGTTGTTCAGTTGTTAAGCGTCGGCCTTAGGCCTCAAGTCATGATCCCAGGGTCCTAGGATCGGGCCCCACATTGGGCTCCCTGATCAGTGGTGAGCCTGCTTCTTCCTCTCCCTCTGCCGCTCCCCCTGCTTGTGCTCTCTCGCTCGTTCTCTCCTTCTCTCTCTTAAATAAATAAAATCTTAATAAGTAAATAAATGGGCTATATTAAGTCCTAATTTATCAATAATTAAATATACTTGAATTAAGCACACCAGTCAAAAGGCATAGAGTGATTGGGTGTGAGGGTGCTGGGTGAGGTGGGATTTGGCAGCTCCAGCTCTGGGAGAGTGTAGCAGTGTGGACTCTCGGTAGCTCTGTCAGCTGAGGTTAGCATCAGTGAATACTGTAGAGGTTGTTGGCAGTCAAGGCTGCAGATGAACATGGTAGCAGCAAGGACTGGGGGAGTCCTCAGTGACAAAGAATGATTGAATGGTTAAAAAAATATGATGTAGTGGTATGCTGTCTACAAGGGACCCTGAGATAATACCTGGGTGCTGACTTAAGCCCCTAAGTTTGTGGTAATTTGCTTTGTAACAATAGGAAACTAATAAAAAGTGTATAATTCATTGTATTTTTTTAGATTGGGAAATTGGTCTGTTTTCTTTTTCTTATTATAAAAGTATACTATTACATATTCATAGTCCTAAATCAGAAATTTATATGAAAAATATTCTTGATTCTAGAGCCAATCATTATTAAAAAAACACTTTCGTTCTTTTTTTGATTAATGTTTTTAAAAAGATCAGACATTGTTTTGCAATCTTTCTGTGCTACAGTATTGTATGCATCTCTTTCTATATTTCATGTTCATGTATATCTTTAAAAATCAATAAAGAGGGCGCCTGGGTGGCTCAGTCGTTAAGCATCTGCCTTCTGCTCAGGTCATGATCCCAGGGTCCTGGGATCGAGTCCCACATCGGGCTCCCTGCTCGGCGGGAAGCCTGCTACTCCCTCTCCCATTCCCCCTGCTTGTGTTCCTGCTCTCGCTATCTCTCTCTCTGTCAAATAAATAAATAAAATCTTAAAAAAAAAAAATCAATAAAGATAAAAAGGCAGCACTTCCCAAACTGTGTCCTACACATCTACAAGATATTAATCAGTGTTTCAAGAATAAAAATCTTTGAGAAACACTGCTTACTATATTTTCTCTTTGGACAATCAGGATACCCATCAGCATATTAAAACTAGAGGAAATCTGGCAATAAAAAAGAAAATATTTTAAATTTGTTATTATTTAACACACAAAGTTATTTCCTACCAGCTCTTGCATACCTATTAACAGAGGAGCATCTTTTCCTTAACAATATGATTTCAAACAATGGAGATATCTAAACCTTCTTGGATGAAACAAGGTATCACATGTATCTTTCAGTGAGCACCATTACTTTCCTAGAATCTAAGATGTTGAATTAAATTATGTGGACTCCCAAGTCTTTGACCTTGATTAGTACAGAATTAATTAAAAGGTAAGGATAATGGTCTATTTAATTCCTATGGTATAGCTGTCAACATAATGTAATTATACAATTCACCTCTTTATGAGTCTCCAGATCAAGAGACCTGACCTTACAGTATCATCATCAAATGCTATTTATAGTGTTATATTTTTGGCAATGCATTTTAAGTGGGATTTTCATAAACTGGTCTGCGTTTGGAGGATAATCAGGAAAGATGGCAGGTTTATCTTGACATTTTAAACAACTGCAATTAGACATAGAAGGCAGAAGCAGAATCAAAGCACAGCTGAAAGAATCAAGCAGTCTTTAGCTCAAAAAAGAACATAATTCAAAAAAATGACAGCTATCCATAAGTGAACTGGGTGTATTTAACATTACCTCTTCTCTGGCTATATTTAAGTAGAGGTTAGATGACAACCTGCTTGAGATATTGTTGGGAAATTTCCTACTCTCAATTCAATGCTGTTGACTTCTAAAATCCAATCAGTCTCCTATTGTGAACTAAAGGGTCTTCAAGAAAGGCCAAGTAACAGTACAGTCCCTGCATTAAGGGGCAATCCAGGTTGGTTACTTGAGATCAAGAAAAGAACGGTGTTCTTTCAGGAAGAAAAGCCAGTTTTGGAGATCCATGTACTCTGGGAGACAATGTCTGAACAGTAAGTATAAATTAAGCTATAGCTCTGTACACCAAGGGCTATGAACTAAATTGTATCCTTCCCCAAAATTTAGATGTTGAAGCCTTAACCCCCAATGTGATGCTATTTGGAGAGGTAGTTAGGTTTAGATGAGATCATGTAGGCGGGAGTGCTCATGATGGGTTTGTGCCAACAGAGAGCTTGTCCTTGTGAGGACACAGTAAGGTGGCCATCTGTAAGCCAGGAAAAAAAGCTCTCATCAGAACCTGATTACTGGCGCCAAGCTCAGACTTCCAGCCACTGGAACTGTAAGAAATAAATTTCTGTTGTTTAAGCCATCCAGTCTATGGTATTTTGTTACGACAGCCTGCACTAAAACACCAAAGTTATACTAGCTCAAGTCCTGGGAGGGACCTAAGCCAGTGGGTAGACCAAGTCGGAGCACACAAAAATCTTTAGAATTGTGCATGAACTGTTTGGAATGTTAACTTTAAAAATAAAACTGCCAGTTATCTTACCAGCAAAATATCGGAGAACTGCAATCCAGCAAGAAAGCAATGTAGTGTCAAAACCATACACAAGTCCCAAGAACCAAGGAGAGGAAGGTTCTCCTACAGAGGAAGTTGGGAGGGCTGTTACAAGCAAAAAGTCCACTGCAGTAAACCAGGGGTTTGAAGTATAATGGCTTTTCATTGGTTGGGCTGGTGGACGTGGGGAGAGAACCGTTCTTCCTCCTGCTGGAATAATATAGTAGCTAAAGCGCCGTGCACTTACAAGGTGAGTCTCTTCCTGCTGGGCCTGCAGATGACGGGAAGTGAAGGGCATGAGAGCTCGCCCTTCTGATTTACTAATTCTTACAGTAAATCAATGGTTGTAAATCAGTGGTGGACTGATTGGACTTTTTCCATTGTTAGTTAAGTCCATCTGGGTCTCCCTAATAAGGAGAAAGACATAAGGTCTTCAGGTTTTCAAGGTATTCCTCTTCTTTCAAGGAGGCATTGGATGCTCAACCATCTAGCAGAAAAAAATATTCTGACTTTATTTGTACTCCAAATTGGTGCAACAGTCCTACCTGTTTGTGACCTTAGCTTTGTAACTACCAAGTCACTTTCCTTCGAAGCTTGGGTTGGCAACTGCAAAACAGGATGTGGTATCTCACAAGGTCCTTTAGGGCCAGTAACCACGATAGCAGCATTCATGAAGCCCAGATTAGGGTAGTTTGCTTCTGCACATCATCACCATACCCAGAGCAGGCTATTATTCCTACTTCTCACACGAAGCTCCGCTGCTGAGTAATCGGCTCATATCCTTCGGTTTGCCCCAGCGGGCGGCGTCTCAGGAAACAGAACGGCTGGGGAGGTCCTGGGAGATGACGTACTTCCGGCGCGCGGCGGGGGCCTGGCGCCCCGGCGGCTCCGGAGACGCGGAGGCGGGGCCCGAGGTGGGCGGGGCGCTGCTGGAGGCCTCGGGCGCGGGCGGGAGCTTGAGGCGGGAGCTGAGGCGCGGGGCGGGCGGAGCCTCTTGACCGTCCGGGGCAGCCGCGAGAGCCGCGGTCGTTGCGGCGGGTGCGGCCGGTGGCTTCTGCACCTGCGCTCCCTTCTTCGCCTCGTCAGCGACTCCAGCCCCAGCCGCCCTTCCAGCTCTCGGCGTCGCCGCTGGCGCCGCCGCCCGACCCGCAGGCCGCCGCGGGCCGCGGAGCCCATGAGGGCGCGGGCCCCGCCGCCGCGTCAGCGGCGTCGCGGTCGTCCCGGAGCGTCCCGAGCCGGCGCGGGCATGGCCGCGGCATGAGCGCGGAGCCGCCGCCGGAGCCAGAGAACAAGGCGGTGTCGGAGCCCGCGGCGGGAGCCATGCCAGAGAAGCGCCCGGGCGCGCAGGCCGCCGGCTGCGTCTCGGTGAGCGCGGGTGCGGGTCCCGGCCGCGGTGCTGAGCCCGAGGCCGGGGTCGGGGGAGGCTGGGCGGGGCCGGGCCGGCGCCTGCGGCCCCGGGGGTTTGGGGAGACGTGGGGCGTTGGCTCCGGCCCTCGGGAAGCCGGTCCTTTCCGGGGTCAGCCCTTGGATTCCTCCCTGGGCTTTGCTAGCGCCGCTGCTCTCCAGACAGAACTCGAGGGGCTTATTGTTTCAAACAGCGCCAGACACCGGGCCCCGAGGAGAAGTAGTTGAGTTGTTCAAGAATTTCCAGACGTGGGACTGGCGATACCATTTCCGTGGTGCAGTTTCTGGCCGAGCCTGCAGGGATGTGTGGGGGCCTCAACCGGGAAGTTGGCGGTGGAGGCTGGGCAGCACCCCAGCCGCTGCTTCCTTCTCCCGGCGGCCGTGCCGTCGGAGCGCAGGATCTCGGAGCAAGCTGGGGGTGCCAGGGCCCGGCTGCGGAACGCGTATAGGCCGGTCTCGCGCTCCGGTTGTACGCCAGGCTCAGGTGGCTTGCGAAGCCCTGACTTAATTGGCGCGGATTCGGCAGAACAGGCCTTGTCAGTGGCGCTTTGGTTTGTTGTGGTGGAATACTAAGCAGAGAGGGCCAGTCCTTTCTTAAAGAGGGGTTTTTTTGGTCTATTTAGGACAGGAAATACAGAAACGTTACAGTGAGTAGAAACTAACGCAAAGAAAACTAGAAATTTTAGGAAAATTAAGTGTATGCAGTCAGCTTCGCATTTTAGCTTACGTGTCTATATTGCTTTTAAAAAATACTACATGATTATTCCTTGGTGATGTGAGTCCCCATTAGTAGAATTTGGCGGGTGGGTGAAGTAGAAGGAGCAGTAAGTAGAATGGAGCCAGAAGAGCTGGTTTCTAGTCTTGGTTCCCTGAGAACCAAGGAAGGTTCTCCACTGAAGAACCTTCAGGTTCTTGGCTGGGCAAGGTCCGGACACAACCCTGCCACTCAGTGCCTCACCTGTGGCAGGAGAGCTTAGTAATGTGGAAGGACCCTCCTTGCTCAAGTGAGTTCTAATTTTTAAAAAAGCATTAGGAGTTTTTTTTTTTTTTTTAAGATCTTATTTATTCATTTGAGACACACAGAGAGAGCATGAGCAGGGAGAGAGGGAGAGGGAGAAGCAGGCTCCGCGCTGAGCCGGGAGCCCGATGTGGGGCTTGATCCCAGGACTGTGGGGTCATGAGCTGAGCCGAAGGCAGACGCTTAACCATCTGAGCAACCCAGGTGCCCCAGGAATTCCTCATTTCAAAGATAAGATTTCCGTAAAGGGAATTTTATCTTCAGTGGGGAAGATAAGAGTATAAGTTTTTCTCGTTTTGTTTTTGATTATTTAAAAAGTAGACTTGTCATCTTCCTCCTCCTCTAAACTAAACCAAACTGCCAGGTCCTCCTCCTGTCTTTGAATTGATAGACCATAATTACTAACCAGACGCCATACCAGTAACATGAGAGGTAGCCTCCTTCATTCCTTGCCATGCTTACAACATCCAGTACATTCCTAAGTCTAGCTAATTTTACCGGGCAAAGATTTTAGGTTTTTATTCTCTGCATCTCTATGGTTCATTTCCTTAGCATTTTGACTTATCTTTTGGGACCCTTGCTTACTTCACCATTGGTCTGCTGTCCACAATGTTGATCAGTGTGATCTAACATGTAAATATAATTACTGCTGTCCTTAAATTTTTTCATTGGCTCGCCTTGGTTTATAGGATAGAAAAAATAACCTGGCAGGTTGAAGCATTATAGCATAGTGATTAGGTGAGCATGCTCGGAATCCCAGTTCCCACCTTTTATTACCTACATAACTTTGGGCAAGTTACATAATATCTCTGAATTAATAATAGTATTTACCACAGAGGATTGTGAGGGTTACTGCAACCTTGCACCTAGTAAGTTCTCAATAAATATTAGCTGTTATTAGTTCTCAATATTTTTGGCATGAATGATTGGCCAGAGTGTATAGGTGATCCCTGTCAGTTATTCACTAAAAATTAAAGTTGCTAATTTTATGCGCTTAGAACTAGAACTTTTGAGGGATGTTTACCCAAGGAAACTTAGACTCTTTATTCCCTGTTTCCTTCTCCTGTGGACCCTGATGCTAACCTAGTTTGGCACAAGTACAGTCCTGCTCAGTCTTCCCTTGTCTCTGAGGGTCCACGAGTCAGTACTGATAAACTGCTGTGAAACTGACTTGAGTTTTCTGATGCTTGATGTACTTAGTGAGTGACTAGCATGGGCAGGTGGCACAGTTCAGACACTGGTGCTTTTTGGAGTGTGTGGTGGCTGGGAAAGCAAGTGAATGCCTTTAATCATACGGGTTCATGTTGTATGCCGGTACCCCAAAATTATGCGTCTTTCCTGCTTGCACTTTCTGTCTAGTATCACTTCCCAGGAGCTATGTTCTGTAGCCTCTGACTTGATTTCATTTTCATGTATTGGAATTTCCTTATAGCTTGAGTCCAGTGATACTCATGGTTTCAGGTTCTTAGATGCTAATAATTACAGGGAAAACTGCCCATACACAGGGAACCTGCTGGCAGCTTTTCAACCTTGTTTGGCAAAGAGATGTATTGACCTGAAAGAGATTGGCAGAGAGATGTATTGATCTGAGTAATAGAAGGGAATCAAGTATTTACTTCAAGGGATCATAGCCTTGTAGAAAAGGGATGTGTGTTTAGCAAGTAAGTTCTTGTTTTATTATTTCCTCTTTCCTCTTTCCTTCCCTAACTGTGTGTGCAAACAACTTGAGATGTTTCATCAGAATTGTTTGCATTATCATTAAATGTATGTTTTCCATCATACTTAACCTTCATAACCAGGTAAGGGGAAAGGTTTTTGTTGTTGTTGTTGTTGTGTTTTGTTTTTGGTTTTGGTTTTTTTTGGCATCATTTACCTGTGAGCATCTGATGAAAATTAAGGATTTGCTGCAAAGAAAACACAACTAAGTTTAGCATACTATTTCAGGATGTTTTTGGACTCCCAGAAGCCAATGCTCGGTAACGGGTTAAGAGCCCTGATATAAGGCCTCTCATGATCATTGTTGTTCTGGTGACATTTGATGTCTCTCTTTTTTTTTTTTTTTTTTTTTAAGATTTTTTATTTATTTATTCATTAGAGACAGAGAGAGGCAGAGGGAGAAGCAGGCTCCCAAGGAGCAGGGAGCCCGATGCGGGACTCGATCCCAGGACCCTGGGATCATGACCTGAGCCGAAGGCAGACGCTCAACCATCTGAGCCACCCAGGCGCCCATATTTGATGTCTCTTAAGTTGATTTTCCTAAGACTGTTTCAGAGGGTTTTCTGTAAAGGCTAATTTTAATTCTGATTTTTGAGAACAAGAATATTATTTATTATGTAGGCAAAATGGAAATAATACTGAAGAGTAGCTTCAGAAAAAAAAATGCTAAAATGACTCTGTTATGTTTATAGACATAAAAGAGGGTCTAGGGACATATTAGGGAAAATGAACTATAAGCTTTCAATTCTTTCTTGACACTGTTAGGGACCAGTATGATCATTTCAATAATAAAATAGTACTGGGACATTGGCATAGCAACTTCTCAAGTAAATTCTAGCAGATAAGGGGAGAAACTGAAAGCATTTGTGAGCATTTGATATACTGCAATTTAGAAAAGCCAATTGGTGGTGCTTTCATCGAAACATTTATTATGTTTCATATTTAGAATTATGCAAATTTCTAGTCAGCTCACTGTCATCACGGCTAGCCTTTGTCATAACACAGGCTTATCCTTGCTGTTGTGTTGTTCTTAGGCCTGGCATAGGCAGGATTTTGTAGACCTTGCTTCTTAGGATATTTGAGCATCCTTTTCCACCATTTTTCTTACTAGATTAAGTCTTTGAAGGTAGGGACTACAGCTGTGTATCTTTTAATCTGAAATAGTCTTTTGGGGATGATCAATAAATATTAATAAAGAAAGAAGTCATTCAGTGTAGCTTTAAGCCAGTTTTTTTGGCTTATTAATGACAACCTTGTCTTTTACCTTTTTTTTCCCTCTTATCATTTATATAATATGCTTTGGCCTTATAAAACAAGTTGGGGGGGGGACCTGGGTGGCTCAGTCATTAAGCGTCTGCCTTCGGCTCAGTCATAATCTCAGGGTCCTGGGATTGAGCCCTGCATCGGGCTCTCTGATCAGCGGGGAGCCTGCTTCTCCCTCTCCGGCTTCCCCTGCTTGTGTTCCCTCTCTCACTGTCTCTGTCTCTGTCAAAAAATAAATAAAATCTTAAAAAAAAAAAAAATGTTTGGTAGTTCTGGTTTCTTCTTTTCTCTGAAGATTTTGTGTATGGTAAGATAATTTTAGAACTTAATGGTTTTTAGGCTGGGGTAATGTAGTTGTATAACAGTCGAGGTTTTCTTTTTCTTTTTTTTTTTTTATTTAAAGATTTTATTTACTTGACAGAGAGAGACACACAGAGAGAGGGAACACAAGCAGGGGGAGCGGGAGAGGGTTAGAAGCAGGCTCCTGGCTGAGCAGGGAGCCCAATGCAGGGCTCGATCCCAGGACCCTGGTATCATGACCTGAGCCGAAGGCAGACGCTTATCGACTGAGTCACCCAGGCGCCCGAACAATCAAGGTTTTCTATTTGATTTTCTTTTTTTTCTGTTTTAGTAAGTTGTATTTTCTTAGGAATTTGTCCATTTCACCTTCAAATTAACTGGCATAAAGTTGTAATAGCCTCTTAGGCTTTTTTAAACTGCTATAAGATCCTTACTGTTTTTATTGCTGACATTGGTAATTTTCAACCTCATCTTTAAAAAAAAAAATAATAATTCTCCAGTGTATTCTGGGTAATCATCAGTTTTGCAAATGGGGATAATTTTGCGTCGTCTGTATTTCTGTGTTATATGAACTAGAATATCCAGGAAAAGGTTCGGTAGCAGTGGTGAAAGTTCACAACTTTCTCTTCATAACAGAAATACATCTTTTTCATTGTTAAGGATG